AAAAGGGAATATAAAGTCTTAAACATACAAGCAAGAATTGAGGTTGATTTTGCACTAAATTAAAGCTAAGAACTTGAAAGCATATAAGGAAAGATGAAAGATTGAAAGAAAACTCTAGACATTACTCAGCACCAGAGTGTTCAAACTCGAGAAAAGACTCAAATAAAAAGAAACAAGTCATATCTCATGTAACTAGAACTAAAGTCGAACAAATTATTGCGAAATAGCCGACTTTTGACCAGAGTCCCGATCTTTCTCTCAAAAGATACAAACTTTAATCAACAAATCACACTCGACAATCAAGACAAAACAAAAGTTAGCATTTTGACCTAGAACCGAACTCAACAAACAAATTCTGGACAAGAAACTAATTTTAACTCTTAAACCTAAGTAACCAAACTAAAACAACAAACGAGATAATAAGTCCTAAGGCTATGACCTTATTACTTCCCTATGCATTTCCGAGGGCAATAGATATGAAAAGGTCAGAACTTTAACTAGAAACGAACTCAACACGCATATTCCGACAAGAAACTACTTTGACCTCTTAAAACTAAGTAAGAAAAAATAGAGCAATGAACGAGATAATAAGCCCTAACACTAGGAACTTACTTCCAGGGTCGGACGCAGACTTTAAGGACAACGGGGGCACAAACTACGGTCAATGCGGAAAGTCTTATAGGTCAATATTTAACCAACTAAAAAACTAAAAAGATTAAATTTTGTCTACACACCTGGTTTCTTATTTACTAGCAAGGGTTGTGTCTCACATTCGCATTTTAAGAATAAGGACACACTTGATCCAATTCATATATATTATATATACATTTATGTATAATATTTGTTTCTTATGTATTTTGGGAGGGAAAATGAAATAAACAAAAAGTTGAGTATAGCGTAAGTATAAATTCCATAACTTAAAAAATAACATACTATTGAATGTCAAATATTTCTAGAAATTTTCCTTTTTTTTTATATATTGAAATAACTTTGCATAATAATTAATAACGTGTATTTTTTATGTCAATATAATAATATATTTATACATACAACATTTATATATTATAGTACACAAAATTCTACAGGGGCCCGTGCCCTTATGTATAACCGCCCCTACTTACTTCCTTATGCACTCCAGAGCAAAATAGACGTGAAAAGAACAAGTCTTTAATAAAAACAAGCGTGACCAGAAAAGTCACCGGAAGAGTACGGCTAGAACCTCCTAAGTTTTGTCTAGAGAGAAAATAACAAAAAGAGAGAAGTTCCTAAGAGGGAAATAAAAATAAAATTAAGTCTAGGTTCCCAAATACGAAGGGAAAAAGTATATTTATTCTAGCACCCCAAAATTACAAACTAGGTGCACACACATTTAATAAAGCTAAACTCGCAAGGTCTCGAAATGGATTTCACAATGAGTATGCATGGTGTAACGACCATTTTATTTTTATTATTTATGGAGCTCGA